TCAAGGATATAAAGTCGCCCCTGCGATAAAATGACTCAGCCTGCGCCGTCAACGTTTTATATCAGGCCGGACCTCCGGAAGAGTCATCGTAGATGGGCTTAATTATATACTGCATTTTATTACTTAAATCTTGGATGTGAGGTAAGATCATTACTATTTACTAATCTCATTCAAGACATTCGTATTTGAATGAAGATGAGTGCTCTATAATGGGCCCATGATTAGAGTAAATTGCATGTTTGATTAGGTTTATGACCTGTCTGGATGAAAGGTCGGGTAACACAATTTGTGTTTGGCAAAACGAAAGCAAAGTAAACACATTCCTACATATTCACACATTCTCATAGCTCTTCAATATAGCTCTGAGAAACTTATATTTATTGAAATGTTTATACGAAGAGTGTATCAAATATAAGCTGAAAATAAGTCAAAGATGTTCCGTGTTAGATTATGAAAATTCATAAATTGATCTTTATGTAGATCTTGAGTTGCCCTAATTCAGTATGGGAAATTCTTGGGAACAATAAAAAAAAATTATGTTGAGTTCAACGCTCGTGCACACATGTACTTCATTCACATTCATTCAGTCTTTTAAACCAATGTTCCAGAACTTCCATAACATATTCCATTTGAAAATAGAGGCAATGACCTTTTCTTTTAACAATTTCGTACAAAATAGTTGATAGTACTAACTGAATGCCTTCGAATGTGTGAGAATTCGATCAATATATATCTATAGATGGTTTGGGCAGTGGGATTTAAGTGAGATAACCCCCATCTAATCGGAACCAACGGGAATGTTAAGTCCTCAACATTTTTATCAGGTCGGACTTTATACCCCAGAAGAGTCCTCGTGGTCAGGCTTAATCATTTACTACATTTGCTTACATAAATCTGGTATGTGAGGTAAGATTAATCATAATATTATCTAATCTCATTCAAGGCAATCGTATTTGAATGAAGTTGAATGCTCTATAATATGCCCTTGATTAGAGTATATTTCATGTTTGGTTAGGTCTATGACCGGCTCAAGTAATGCTTAATGGAAAGACCGGGTAAACGTATTCCTATATATAAAATACATTGAAATGTTTATTCAAAATGTGTAGCAGAATTAAGCTGGAAATACTAACTCTTCAGTCGCAATCATGCATTCCTGGTTGGCAATAAGCTCATCAACCGTGTTCTCACTGACTAGCTTGGTCCGAATTGTAATAGAGTTAATCATTGGTGTTTGTGTACGATTAATGACACCACGTTCATATCATTACCAAACATAGCCTGGCAAGATGGCCGATATTTGACGCCATAGACATAACATTAGATTTCAATGCAAAACTTTGGTCTGCTTAAAATGGATAATTGAAGATCCTAGCAATCCTGTGATATTAATCTGTAATTCACATAGTGTTTACCGAATTGCCCAAATTGCCGTAATTATTCGAGTCTTGTTTGTCCGTAAATGCATGGCATGCCTGTGTGCGTGGTGGTTGTTTCAGAGGCGAAACATGTGATGTTAAAACTGATTAAATATGGGTTGGATAGTAACACTCAGTATTTGGTCGGCTCGTGATGTATCAAGAAAGTGACTTCACACTCTCCTTGCCTGTCTGCCATATGTTAACAAGCAGGAGGAGTTACATGCAATGTGGAAACGACGAAATCATCGGGTTCTGTAGTGTACATGCGCAACAGACAGACGCTGGTCTAGTTGGGTCAACAGAATCAAATCACCACACAGTAGATATAATTTAACGCCCAACAGAACCACTTTTATTCACAATGGTTGTCAAGACAACAGCAAATCCCTGCTACCTATAATAAATAATACACCCTATTAATCTGACATGCACTAAAGGTATACTAATTAGGCAGCTAATTCATGCGTGCACAATAATGCTTGCAAACACGGTTACTAAAAACCGTTAGTAGTAACCGTGTTGCAAATAAATCATTCTTAGACTAATTATTTCACTACGCCTATTAACCTAACAGGTCCTTGAAATACGTTAGACAAACTAACTAGTATACAGGATAAATGCTACTATTGGCACATATAACAGTAATTTACAGTAACTTTCAGAAAATGACAACATCACAGCAAGTAATTGGAGGAAATACACTGAAAAGTCATATTCTTTCCATAATTACATGTACCAACTCCACGATACGTCTCCATGACCAACTACGTTGATACCACGGTTACACTAGTATTTATATACAAATACTACAACAGCAGTGTCTGGTAAACAATCAATTCAGGATTCCGTATCTCCTTCACAGCATAACAACTCAGCATACAGTTGTGACGATTCAGTTTGCTTGATACGAGATGATTTTATTCAGCCAGCCAAATATCTGTATAGTAACATACAAATTGACATGTGTTACATTGGCATACTAATATGACATTTATTCAGTCTCGGGGTGTAGATATAACAGCAAATAACTACATTAATCTAATTTGCATATTTTTGGGAGGGCGTGGTCATTACTGTCAGAAGCACATCTACTCATGCCAAGGTGTAATCCTACCAAATATGAACGAAATCGGCTCAATGGTTGCTGAGATCAAAGGAAATAAGTGGATTTAACTAATTTGCATATTTGGGGGGTGTGGTCATATTAATAATAACCTAAAAGATGACTTCCGATGATAAGGACGCCATTTTGAAATTGAGTTCCGAGAAATTGGTTCTAAGGTTCTGAAAAGTTGGTTCTGAGTTCTGAAAAGTATACACTACCCAATGTCGTTTAACGGGCATGATTTGTGGATCTCGACATATTTATTAAGTTTACGTTAAAACAAAGGGCCTTTTGTTTACCGTACCGTATGTGTATAGCTTTTCATAATTCCCGAACGATGTTCATTTCAAATCGAACCGACCCACTCGATATAAGCATGGAACTACACAGTAATATTTAGTTCGGACATCCTAGTTATTTATCTTAGTCTGCACGAGTGTGCGAGTGTGCTTGAATCACTGAGTCAATAATTCTCTCCGATAGTTTAAATCACATCCTTGGTGCCAGGCAAGCCGACGGATGCAGCAACACCTGTTATTTTGTCAGTTTGAAGTGATCAGTTGAGAAAATCGTGAGTTGGGTTTCACTATACAAGACAACCTAAGCAGATATTGCTAATTGGGATAACCCTCGAACCACACTCAAGCAAGCAAAAAAACATTGCGTTAATCATGTTTGTACAACGTCACTGTGAGGCTATTCAGTTCAAATAGCGATTGTTCACCATTATAATTAATAACTAATAGCTTTATATTATCTATAACGTCAGATATTACCACAATTATGGTGGCTTGTCGTCAAGCAAGTAAATATTTGCGTAATCACAGTCAATCAAGAGTGTACTACTCGATGGTCACTCTGATTTCGTCACTTTTTTCAGTGATTGTAGATGCAGTATAAATGAACAATACCTTTTCAGGATTCTTTAAAAAAATTACGCATTCTAGATATTGTGTTGCCCGAATGTGAAACCTACACCTCTGTCTATTACACAAACATAGAGCTGTTAAACAAACCAGAAAAAAAATACACAAAATCGCTATGACTTTTATTATTCGATGAACACAATTGTAAAACCCCTTTTAATTTCTTTACAGCACTGATTCAGAATCAAAGTCTTAATAACGGATGTACCACATGGCCAACTAAGGGTTGTGTCTGCCATAACATTGATTTTTCATTCTCATAAACTATAATAAAAATATGCAGGACGAAATCATTCTGCTAACAATTATTTCATCATTTTACTTTCATGGGCACTTGGAATTGAGCGATACCTTTTTAAAATTGTTGTTACATATCATGTTTGAACACAACTTATTTAAAAACAAATACATTTCACTGGATTTTTGTAAGCAGTGTATTGCTATACGTTACGGTTGAGTAACGAATAGAGATTGGTTCAATACATGATATATTAATTATGCACATTTCCCAGAACGGTGCTTTAATCTTGTAATTTACATACTCATTATATATTAATAGTAATGGCAGCTTTAATAATTGCGAGCGAATGGTTTCCAAAGAATGTTAACTCATCACACAGCCTCGTAAACAAACAGATAGCTGTTCAACTTGCCAAATGTGGCATCAAAACTTACTGCACAGTTTATGCCGCATCTGAAGAGGAGAGAATCAACGCCAAGCAACATAACGTGAAACTAATCAAAGCAACACGTCCAAAAGGCCTGGAGGAAGTTCCGAAACGACTTTGGTTGAGGTTACACGAACGCTTTTACCCTAACATTCCAAAGGACATTCGACTAGTTATAGGCCACGCTTGTATGAAAAATGAAGACACTGCAGATGTAGCCTATAATATTAAAGATGAAATATTCCCAGATGCATTGTACATAGTGTTTGTACATGTTATTTGCGATGCGATAGTGAAATGCAGAAAAAAACGGGATTTGGAGAAAGCTATCAATGAAGTCGCTGCAAAATCGGCACTTGTAGTTGCAGTGGGTCCGCGAATATGTTGAAACAAATTTCGCACTTTGAACGATAAATTCCTGTGTTATCTACCCTCTCCTGAGGACGATTTTCAGCGCTTGCAAATTCCGCCATGTAACCTACAGACTGTTGTGGAGGTACATAGCTTCCTAGAAACTGGATCAGATGACCAATGGAAAAAGTGCTCTGTTATCGCATCTGCTATGGGAAAGTATCAAATATATATCGCAAAGCAAAAGATAAAAAGAAATTGAAGCTACATGTGCACGGTTTTCCCCAAGGCAGAGAAACAGATTCGGCATATTGGCATTCATATTTGCAAAAAGTTGCAAAAAGTGAAAATTTACCGATAATCTTAAAGGAAGCAGCTACCATAAAAACAGCACGAACATCTATCTGTTCAACAATGTGCTCTCGTGATTGATGCAGATATCGACAAGCCATACAGCTTTCCAGTGCTTCAGGCATTAGCAGCAGCGGTCCCCGTGCTTTTGACTTCTCACTCAGGTTTAGCTGAATTCATGACAGAGGATGACGACCTTAAATCCTATAGCCGAGACGTGATAGTAGAAACAGGTATAAGTGCGTCGGAGGATTCCGCCAGTAATGAATGGCATGATCGTGTATTAGATATATTCGCGGGCTATGAACATTATTTGAAAAGATCAAATGACCTAAGAGAAGGACTTCGACGTTCTCTTAAAGAAGGACGAATTGCAAAGTCGCAGAAAATGTTTCTGGACTGGTGTATTGAGCACACTGGCAACATCCCAACAAGTGATGAGTTAATCTTAACAGAGAGTAAGTAATCAATTGTTCTACCTTGTATGTGACATTCGATTATTTATTATAAAAAATGTTTAGTGCATGAATGTTTATTTGTCACTGGTATTACAATTTGAAAACTACCCCATGACCTATGTATATTCACTAGTCCAATGTAAAGGTTGTTCGCTGTTTGGCTTAGCTTATTGTGATGGGATCTCTTTCCCTTCTTACAATTAACAAAGTTCATCTGTTCCCATTATATTCCATTCCAAATAAATCTAAAATTACAACCCATGCTTACTAAGTTTTATTCCCAATTTGTATGAATGTAATCATTCTTTTTGTTTAGGTGACACTACCACACAGCAAGAGAATCTTGGATTACTCGCATGTTCACCAGGACCGACAGCAACACCAGCAGAAACAACTGCAACAGAATCTAAAACAGGCAAGTTCATTTATATTATACCAGAAAAGAAATAAAAAGGAATATGTGAAACATAAAATAATGTTTGACTAATTAATTTCTTCAAAATGGTATGAGTTGGACTTCCTGGTCCTGTCTTTCTTGTCTTAAAAACTGGGGCCTGTTTATGCAGCATGAAACGTCCACCACGTACAGTACGTGTTCAGTGAATTCACGTTATCAAATTTAGGGGGATTAATTTAGGGGGAGGAAATACCTAAAAAGTTCGTTATCAGATATAAAAATAGTCAGCTAGTTTTCTAGTAGGTATGGGGATGCTGAACACTGCTGAACACTGCTGCGCATGCACAGAATAAAATACTGCCACGCCCATCTCGCATTGCATTGCCAAACCTATTGGCTGTGAGTAGCTAAATACACAATATGAATAAATATTTAACCACATCATCTCAAAAGCACTGGCACTTCTTTGAATTCCATTCAGTTAATCCGGCGTTATTTTGTATATGCCAATATTTAGCGATAAAAATGCAAAATGCAAGTGCGTTAACAATTCAAGAGCTTACCAAAATTAAAATAATACACTATAATTCACGGCCATTGTATGTAACATAGCGACGCATTTTAGCATAAAAAATAAACATATATCGCATTTATCAGTCATTAAATTAATTTGTATAGCGCCAGTTAAAATACCGTCGATCAAGAACATAATAACTATCGCAAACTTATAGAATCACAGTTGTGAAACCAATTTGCATTTCTCGATGTTGTATAATATCCACTGTGACGTATTTGAATAATGCACACGTGGAAGTATCCGATGGAATACTTCAAGAACACCAAATAAAAGGGTAACATTATTTTTCCATTTGCTTATCGATTATGATTAACAGAAGATAGCAAAGTACACTGTAGTAAACAAACAAATGAGCCTTTTCATTCATTTCAGGATCATCTGTAAATGCAGTGAAAAAGATCACTTATCAAGACATGGCTGTTCAAACACATGGTTCGTTCAATATATATCCAATATGCAACTACAACTGTATGTCTCATATTTGTAACTCAGCAAAGTATAAAAATTGTTGTAATTAACTATTATTTTAGTCTACGTATGACTTTCGAGTCGTGGTAGTAAAATGTAAATTATGCCAAGGACAAGAGTATGAAATTATGCAGAAACATTTCTCACATTCAACTGTGGTATTTATAACGCAACTGCCTACCAGAATTGAAGCTTCACTAACTAACTTTACATGTTAGTTTGGCAAAGACTATGTATGGGAATCCCAGTCTACTAGTTGTTTTGTAGTGTATAATATTGTCAGGTTGTTAATATCATGCAGGATATGAGATTTAGTGCCTGCCGGCATTATTATAAGATTTATTCTTGAATCAATATCCAATTTGATAACATATACAGTCTCTACAATACATATAAAAACTTTTTTTTTTTTGGAAATCGTGTTGTGACTGACCTAGAATTTGACTTTCAGAGTGACCCCCCCCCAATACGGACTAGTCAAGCAATCACCTCTCCAGGCCAAGGACTGTGGGAAATACAATATAATGTTTAACAGTAAAGGTCATGGGGAGCGCAGCACTTTTGATAATACCGCGATATTTACTTAATTTGTGGTTCACGCTCGGGTCAAATATAGAATGTAAAACGTGACATTTCTCTCCGAAACACATTCTATATCACATTAAAAGATAACTCAAACTAAACTAAACTACTCTGGAATAGTCCGTTTCAAGAACCAAATAAATAGTGATGTGTAGAGCCGGGAAATTCCGTGTTTTCCTCTACAAAAATGATGGTTTTAGATTAAAACCACAGATTTAGAGATAATTATATTAATTGTTTATAAAATGTTGAAAATAGATTCAGGAACTGGTATTGGTGGTGGTGGCGGAGCAGGAGGTGGTGACCCACCATTCCCGTCAACATCGGCAGGTCAAATAGCTCCGACCCAACGTGAGCCTGGTAACTATGACATTAACATTTCATGCAATGATTTCTATGAATATAATTATTTATTGCTACAATCAATAATAAAATGTTGGCTTATGAAACAAAAGTGGCTTGTCTAAATGACGTCACTCGAATTGCAATCGTTTTATTACTGAGTTCATATAAACATGTTCGAATAACCTGCACATACTGTTTTCATAGGTTTAATCAATTTTGTATCTTTTTTTCAGGAACGGTAGCTATTATATTGAACTGGAACTCAGAAATTGGAAATACAATCTTAAATGCTTTGGCATTAGCTGCACAATTTGACACATTTCGCTCAATTTTTCCCACAGTTGTGACATATTTATATTTGCTAGGCCGAATGAAAATTACTAAAATTGAAAGAAGTTCCCTCAGAATAACAGTGAGATGTCCACAATGGGCCTCACTAAAGGATTTGTGGGCTGATATGTGGTCTGGTAAATTAGCCAGAAAATTCAAAAAAGATATTGAAACTACAGATTTGTTCCAAGAGGCATGCAAAGAAAATGCAAACATTACACCATTCAAAGTAAATATTGAGTCATGGGAATACAGAAAATGTGAAGCTGAACTGAAGTACATTCTGAGAGGTAAGTTGAAATAATTGGTTTTCTAATGTTCATATAGATGCACAAGTAGATCTTGTTTCGTGCCAGTTTACCGGTACCTAAGTCTCTATGTCTCTCTTTTATTACCAAATTATATTACCTGTAAAGTGACTCTTGGTGCAAGCTGGTTGTAATTACGTTAAGGTTTCCAGTTTGTTAGAAATTCCAATGGTACACGTGGCATAGACAACTGTCAGCTTCCCGCATGTCAAAATGATATTAAAATCATCGGCATTTTATCATTTTTATTGGTATTATTTTATGTTAAAACTTATGATGCAAGACAGTAAAATGGTATAGTTATGGTAAAACAACTGGCTGTTGATTGCCCAGAATATACCTGTTATTAGGTGAACTGGACATTTACCATAATGAATTATGGATAATATGGTAATGAATGCCACTGGTCTTTATGATTTGATATGAATGTATGCATGCTTTCTCTGTGCATTTTTTTTCATTTTGACTTAAACAACAGTTATTATATTGATTGTGATGGTTTGAAAATAAATATTTTAATCTTTGACCAAAAAGGTACTGATAGACGCACTGATGGTGGAGCTGCCTGGAATGGAGGCTCAGACGAAGAATTGACAGATTCAGATTCAGATACAGATTCAGATACCATTTCAGATTCAGACCCCAATACATCTTCAAGTAGTTCGGTAAATGTTGCTCGAAAATACTATTATTTTTACAGGATCACAGCACGCTGTTATTAATTGCTAGCGAGTAGGTATCTGCATCCTACCGTATTAAAAATGTGAATTCCATATAATGTTTGAAGTTACACTACCGTATTTGACTGGCCGCTTTCAAGACGAATTTAAAATTCTCACAAAATGATGTCATCGAAATTACAAAAATAACTAAAGACAACATTCAACCCATCACCTTTAAACCAACTTTTAATCCGTAAACAGATAGAACATAAACTTTCTTTCACTGATCTTTACTGTAAGATTTATCTCATCATCTCAATACAATTTTCATTAAAATAGTATCGGAAGTGAAACATAAATGAATTTGAAAAGAATACACAATACACATAAGGTTATACTGTGATCACTGGTCATTTGAAAAAGTGAATTGTGCTCCAGATATTTAATAAAATTTGTTGAGGCTCAATCATCTGGAACGCAGAAGTACAAAGTATATCCATCGATGACATGTGTGTTTACTTATTTCCGCATTTAAAATAACTAAAATGAGGAGATATGCGTGATAACAGGGCCCAGACATTGGAGTGGATATCAGGCTCAACTATATCTAATTAATCTAATTAACCAAATATAGCTCACATGCCCAATATTGTAAAATGATTCATGTAGAACATAACTTTTATTAATTAACTAAATATACTTATTTAGGTTTTAGTATTTTGGTTTTTGTACATCCAAATTGTAACAATTTTCCGTACGCAATTTTTTATATGCCATATGATCAAGTTAAGATATTTAGTAAGCTAAATCAGATTTCAATCTGAGAAAAGAAAACATAAATAAAAAATGGCACTCACTGCATTTGTCTTGTGATATTTAGTACGATGGGTTCTACGATTCTGAAGTTTCTGATGAGCCGACTGATGAAGACCAATACAACGGTAATTTAATGCTATAAATCTTGATTATTTATTATGCACTTGCACATTCGAAAACTATTCTGACTGTGATCACTAGTAAATTACGGGAGCGTGAAACAGACAATGCAAGATTGCTATTTTGGTATGGGATATATGTCACAAAATATTTGTAAATGTGTGTTACGTGCGGGACGTTATGTTCGTATGCCCATCTCTTTGACTTTTTGTGTAGATTGAACTAGATTGGGATTTAAATATTCTAACTGAATTTGAATATTTATATAATTGTATATCAGTGATTTCCTGTCCAAAATATTAATAGATTTCTGAATCATGAGTGAATTTTCTCCGTGTTTAAATATGTTCAACCATGTTTAGGGACTGAAGATGTTTATTTCATCTTTAATTGCTTACAGAAAAACAAACGGATGAAGGTACAAGTGGAGCATCGCAACTTAGCGTACGCATTGGTTTTAAAATATTATTTTAAGGCTCAGAAGTCGACTTTGAAGCGTATAATTACTTAGAGTACGTGCTATGTCATTTAAACATATTTTTGTTTCTTACTTTTAAAAGTTGACAGCACTACAACAAAGACAAAGAGAAATTGATCTTGAGAGACAGCAAAACCAAGAAGGTTCGTACATTCAATACTGTATGATTTGTAAATGTAATTGTTGGTATATTAGTTTACATTCATTTATATTTATATAAGAGACACAATATGTTAATGCGTCTTAATATTGTGCTTTTATTTGTGACACTATAGACGAATGGTTCCACGGAGTTCAGTCTGAAACAGAATCTGAGGTGAGATTGTGTGTGTCAAAAATAAGTACTGCTATTCATGTGGATCACTTCACTATTTCCAGATGGTATCCCACTGTATCAATTCTAGTAGACCTGAACTGAAAATGTATTTTTATATAGTTTGATTATAATGTAGCCTTAAACATTTATACAGACGACTACAATGGACTCAGGCAACGCTTGAATCATACACGACATTCATTTGATGGTATGGTTTTAATCACATGTTATCACGTAATACTACGCTGTGGCACAGATAAAAATTTCACAAGCAGCTTTAGACGCATTTGAAATGTTGATGAGTACAAACGAAATACATTTTTACGATTCAGAATACTGCATACACACTCAATAAAAATGATATACGTGCACTCTTATTTGTTATGAAATCTCCAAATTTGAGAAATAAATATTTGGAAGTACAATTAGCAATACTACTGTGAATTATTTTCAGGTTTATTAAGATGTTTTGAGGATTTCATTTCCTTGTACTATTCGGTTCACAATATAATACAATCAAAAATAAGGATGCGGAACTGGTGATAAGTCACGCGAATTGCGAGATAATATCTGATACCACAATATCGATATATGATATCGATGTTGCAATGCATAATCTTTAAGATCTTTGAAACAATGCAATAAAATGCAATAAAATTACAAATTAACGAAATCTAGGCGTCAAGACTCATTTCAGACAATTACATAGCACGAAATCTTGTCGCACACTAATAAAAGTATATAATATAACAAATTGCCATTCAGGCGACTTCTATGGATGAAACAGACGATGATGATGAAGATCTTCTAGACAACCTTGAAATGAGATTGTGGCTGGCGATGCAAGTCAGATACGAATCAGAAAGAATTCGGCAAATTCCGGAAGGTATAACACTTGTTAATTATCTCGTGACTCTGAATGCACTATATACAGTAGAACTAAAAAAGTATTATGTTCATCTTCTTATAATAATTATAATTATAACTCAAGAAAAAGAAAATAATTTTGCCAAAAGTTGAAAATGTTTGTTCAAGTAAAATGGAAAAACTATATATGAATATAAAATACTTGGAATATTAGACGTTTAACATTTTCACTGATAAACTTAAAATCAGTCATTTTCTGTTTTTATTTCTATTGTTAGAATATCGACAACACATCTTTGAAATGGAAAGGTATGTCAGACTGAACAATTACTCTACATTTCAACTTTTTTTATTTGAAGTTCAGAACATACACTACATACTTCGATGAGAAATTTGTTGTAAATAATCAAGGATTGATAAGGTAATGATGCAATGTGCAAATGCATGCAATCATGAACATGGAGACACCGGTCTGTGCCAGTGTTTTCAATATTAATATCAAATCTCAAATCCATAACTTAAGCTTCATACTTTATGTTTGATGACCCTGTGACTCACACCTATGCCCCAGAATCTAACCAGATCTTGCATGTCACACGGGTAACATGTGGGTAAAATTTGAAACAAAGCGACCTTTAGCTTAAACCTTATGCCACATCGGAAATAAATGTGTATATGTTGAGAGCGCACTGTCATTCCCTTGGATTTCTACATACTGTGACATTTTAAATTTTGTCGCTAAAATCTATCTTGGTCCTTTGGGTTACTTACATATAAAGCTAAAAGACACTAGCCATTTCCCAAACATTTTGTCACCTTGATGTAATACCTTCTAAATGTAAAGTTGATCACATGAGGGGACGTGTGTCAATTTTGACGACGTTAATAATACTTTCTTTCTGTTTATACCAAAATATAGAAGACCTTCAAGTGATTTACCAACGTTTAATTTGAGAAGATTTGTTGTAGAAGATACAATTAGCCGCGATTCTTCCCAGGTGTTTATGTGTCAGGTAAGATCTCATACTTCAATATTTAAATATTTAATGACCTTTTTTGTAATGGAGTTGTAAAAAATGTTGAATTAAATTCAATGAAACAGTGTTAGTTACAGCATCAATGATATCGAATCGTCGCTAAATAATAGAGACGTTTTTAGACTTAGACATATTTATGAAATTTACTGTGAGAATCTACTCATGAATATTAATAAGCAACTTTGTATCTCGGCAACAGGCCCAACATGGATTTGCAACTTCTAAAATAAAGTAGTAGTAGCAATACATTCATTGCACAGCTAAAACAATAAAAAAACATTTCTAAGAAGTTCAGATTACTTTAATTGCTTAGTTAGTTATATGTAATTGTATATTTGACGAATGTTGGTTTACAGGAGAAAATGAAGGAACTCGGCCTTATAAGCAACGATATTGTTTTGTTGAGGAGCAAAAATCGCCGCAGTACAGTATGTAATGTTGTAGCTGACAAAACATTGGAACTATCTAAGGTCAGACTTAACTACCATGCCAGAAAAAGTCTGAAAGTGTTTCTCGGTGGTTTTGTGCGGGTTGTACCGTGTAGAGACATCGTCAATGCTGACAGAATACATATTATACCTTATGGTAATTCCAAACATAGATACACACGTAGGTGAGTAAATGACCTGTAAATATACTGAAGGGACATCACTACAAACACACTGAAATCGGGGTTAATCATGAAAAATTCACTGGTCTCAAACAGCTGATCCTTTTTTCCAGTTTCGATATTTGAGTGAAAAATTTTGGAATTAGCGCTAAAAAATGGCATATACATTCTGTCTAAAATACTGACATGGTAACATTCATGGAAGTTTGACGATTTATTTGATGTTGAAAAGTTTATAGATACCTATTTCACAGAATTGCGTGTTGTTTTCTAAATTCCACGTCAGTGATGAAACATACTGTTACACATGTACGAATTTTAATTCAATAATTCTACTATTTATACTATCTATATGGGTTTGGTTAGTATTGTTTACTTTCGTATTATGTTCTTGTGGGTTCCATGACAAGTTTAACCGTTCAGTGTAGTCAGGTGTAGTCGTTGAGTTTTGCAATAGAATATGCTTGCATTTAAACTTGTATCATTGCGGGAATATTCGTATATATATATAACAACTTGATTAAAATATGTCTTGTGCGTTTTGTGTTACATACATCTGACCGACAAAACAATCCTGTTCGTAAATTACCAAATCTTTGATCGTTTTACTAATATGGACTGTT